AAAAAAAAAAAAATTTACCGAACCTATAAGTCGCTTTTTACATTTTTCGGTGACTGGAATAATCAAAATACGTCCCTAGTAAAAGTTTAATGATCTCTAGTCATCTTTAATTAATGGCATTAAGGTGGATCGTTGACCCGATAAGAGGGTAAGCACTGGAACGGGGTACTTGGAGGCACTGAACTATAAAACAATAAAAAACATCGATGTATCATACTTTAAGATTCGAATGTAAATGTCGAAGATATGACGAAATACAAAAGGGCGACTCCTACGTTCGGCCAAAGAAAATTTTTTTGTAACTGTCTCGAGAGAAAAACAGCGATTTATCGTACTTTGAGAATCAAATCTTAATGCCGAAGATACATATAAAGAAAAATTTAAAAACGCAAAAAAAAACTTTTTTTTTCAAAATCGTTTTGCAATAATACTATACACTAGGGATAGGGTTGTCCTTAAAATATCTAGATCTAAGTTTTGTATGGGACACCCTTTTAGTTTTTCTAAGTACAAAAGAAGTCAAAACCGACTTCAATTTACATATACAAATTTAAGAGTATCGGATCTAAACCAAATTAGTATAGGACCACCTCTGAGGTTCTACCTTTCGTACAAAATCTGATAAATTTGGCATACTATTGAAACATATTCATAAACTAGCTGAGTTAAAGCTAGTCAATGACCTTAAAGCTAGTTTCATGACCACCCTGCTCAGGGTTGTACGCCAAACTTTTTTCTGCTACGATGTATCCTTTCAAATATTAAGGCTGGCCAATCAATCCACCTATGTGCTGCTCTATGGCTTAGTGGGCTGTGTATTTTCCATGACCTATGCCTACTTTAATGGCACGCTGACTAAGATACCATCGAAAAATACTGGCATAATAGCGATTGGCAATAATATTAGTCAAATGGTTGTTTCGGCGGTACTCAGCTATTATGCGGGTAAAGGACACCGGCCGCGTTGGATTGCATTTGGTTAGTAAAGGCTAAAAAATGTGTTAATCAGAGGAAACCAAAGATTTCATATTTTTTTCTATACTTCCCCACACAGGCATAATGACAATAGTCGCCTTCTGCTGGCTAACCGCTGCACCACATTTCCTCTATGGCCCCGGCTTAGATGCGCTCGCGCTGACCACGGAATTCGGTGGCATTGCCGACGAGAACGCAACATTGGAAGTTTTGGAACAGCAGCGCGCAAAAGCATTGTGTCGCGATCGCAGCAATGAGACCGCTTGTGCGCTAGAGGAGGGCAATTTAGCACCACAAGCTGTGCTCTTCCTTGCCGAGGTCATCTCTGGTATAGGTGGTGCACTTTATTACACGCTCGGCATATCTTATATGGATGATAATACAAAGAAGTCCAAAACGCCAGCTTTATTAAGTGAGTAGGCAAAAAAAGACTTTGTTGTGTATTTTTCTTTTTGTTTTTTGTTATCTCATTTGTGCCAATTATGCAGCGAATGATAACTTGGCGGCAATTGTAGTATTTGTTATGAGCTTTGGATCATAAATGAAGATTACTTACATGTAGATTTATGGTTGTAATACTGTGAAAACATTGCCACGTCAATTGAGATCACCTCTGGCTTTGCCGTCTAATGAATAATATTTACTTTTCTCTCGTTTTTCCCTCACCTTTTAGGTTTATCCTATTTCTTCCACATGCTGGGTCCCGCTATCGGTTACGCCTTGGCCTCATTTTGTCTGCGTCTCTATATCGCACCACAATTGCGTCCTGTCATCAATAATGATGATCCACGTTGGTTGGGCGCCTGGTGGATGGGTTGGCTGTTGCTGGGCTCTGTACTCTTCGTATGTGGCATACTCTTTGCTATGTTGCCAAAAGAATTGCCACGTGCGAAAGCGCGTCGGCTTGCAGAGGAGCGTAAGCGCGAAGAATCCAACGCGCTGAAAGCTGAAGCGTCTGTTGAGCTCGAGTCCGAGTTAGAGAAGGCATCATTTAGCGATATGTTGACCACTTTCAAGCGACTCCTCAAAAATAAAACGCTCATGTGTAATCATATCTCTTCAATATTCTATTATTTTGGTTACACGCCATACTGGATATTTACGCCCAAATACATTGAGATACAATATCGGCAATCGGCGGCAACTTCTAGGTGAGAGTAAGAGTGTTTCATATAACGCATCAAAAGAACACATTTGATACATTTTCTTCAGCATGGTCACCGGAACTGTTGCATTGGCCTTCTCCGCTATTGGCGTCTTACTATCTGGCTTTGTTTTATCCAAGTATAAGCCAAGCGCCCGTTATATGGCCGCGTGGAATGTACTTGTTGGACTGCTTACCGTTGCCGGTTGCATTGCATATGCATTTATCGGCTGTCCAGGAAATGAGCACTCAATGATTGTCAATATACCAGAGAGGTGAGGTTCTTTAAACAGACGTAAGGGTTTATTATACACTTAGAGCTCAATATTTCGTTTCAGTGGCTCAAATAGCGTTGCCACTTGCAACTCCGCTTGTTATTGCGATTATGTGCCATTCTCACCGGTTTGTGGTGAAGACAATATGACCTATATATCAGCATGTCATGCAGGTTGCCGCGAAGAAGTACTAGAAGCTAATGGCAAGAAGGTAAGATTTTCTAGAAGAATAGTTTGAATTGGTAAGGTCTTACAATTCTAGATTAAGGTTTTCATTCACATAAGGCAACAGATTATTAATGACTCAATGCCTTCCTTTTATTTGCCTCTAATGCGAAGGAAAGTTGTAAATTATGTTTTCCTTCTCAATATACTTATTCTCCCTTATTACATGTCTCAGATATATCATTATTATATTATAACAGCAAAGAAAACAGTTTGTCTATACGTTCCGAACCGAAATAAGCCACGCCTGTGCTGGTCAGCCGTTGCAAATCGTCTCGTATGAAAAAAGCACACGTCTAGTCTCGTAGCGCTCGCTCTGCCCACGGCTCGACGAACGAAGAACACGAAGTTTATTAAGGCTTTCAAGCCAAACGTTGGACTTCTCACCGGAAGGCTTACAGGAGACTGGACCACTGGCCACATAGACGGCAGATAACTCTCCTATCCCAGTTGTGCAGACAATATATGAGGTCTTACTATTCCCGCACCTTACATGCAATTCGAGCCCTGCTATGCAACAACTTGGCTCCTGTAAAGCGAACAGCACCACCACAACACTTAACGCCATAACCGGTCATGCAAATAACTGGGGTCCTAACCGAAACGTCCATCCTTCGGCTACTAAAGGACGTTGAGATATCCTCACTTACATTGGAACTAAAATGGTGGCCAGCGAATTATCTTAGGTATCAGTCAGTACTCGTTCAACATTTAACTTCTACATCACGCAGCTTTCTTAGCCACCGGATACACTTTCACTGATATCTTGCTCTGCCGGCTTTTAAATATTAGCTTTCCCTTCGCCCTTTATCGATTTTTCACTGCACGGAGTCCTACAAAATCAGCAGCGACCTTTTTACCTCATATAGAACATAATATTGTGCTGCTGTAGGAAACACCAGAATTTCTGCGAACTTACAGACCAACATCGCACAATCAATGAACCCAATGTTGTAGAGAAAACCAATAAACGATATTCATTGAGAGGCATTTACCATCTTTACCATTTTTACTAACTACTACCTTTTCAGACCCGATCCCGACATGCCATCCCCAATATATTGCCACCTCTTCACTTGCTCCCTTAAACCCACTCAGCTAGCACCCTCTTTTTCTTTAGCCTCCCCCGGTCAAAACATGATGACCTTCGTCGTTAGTTGAGCCTGTCGACAACGATTGAAAGGTCTCCCTTAGCTTCTTCTTCTTATTTGATGATAGAACCGTTTGTCCCCGGTCAAAACATGATGACCTTCGTCGTTAGTTGAGCCTGTCGACAACGATTGAAAGGTCTCCCTTAGCTTCTTCTTCTTATTTGATAATAGAACCGTTTGTCGCTTTGGGTCGAGAATAAAAGCTTCTGCAATTGCCTCTCTCCTGTGCGAATTTACGCCAGTTGCTCATCCCGAGTGCAGACAGCTCCTTCTGCACTTGGTCCTTCCGGTATATTCTTCGGCCCCTTGCTATCGGCAAGGATCTTTTCACCGGCGCGTCATCATCCACGTCGTTCACGCGAGCAGGGCTATCAGACTAACAGCAAATGTTACTGTAGAGAAAATAAGTAAAATAATACCGGGTTTATATGGATTTTCTTCATTTGAAAATAGGGAACCGAAAACGAAAAACTAGAAACCCGATTTTCGAAAAGAGGTGCAAAATCTAACACCCTAATGCACACATATAAACATTCACATTTACATAATTAAAATGACGATTATTTTTACAGATTTACATTAAATGCAGCTGCATTGCCAGAAACCATACTCCGATTCGTGAGAAGCGTTCACTACCAGAATTGTTCAACATAACAGAGACTACTTTACTAGGGTCGCGTGAATCAACTATGAACAGAACTATGAGACCTATAGATGTAACAACGGCAGCAACATCAAGCAGCACATTTACAACACCTTTCATGACAACAACAACAAGCAGAAAATCGGCTGTTAGTATTATATACATATCTATCAATATTTCAACATTTCGTAAAGCCACTAAAAATTTTTTTCCTTTCTTTCTACCAAAAAGTCAACAATGGGCGGTCGTGCCACGCCTGGCGCATGTCCCGTTAATTGCTTCACGCAATTCGTGATTTTTTTGGCGGTCATGTGTGGTTTGAAATTCATCGGTGCCACAGGGCGTGCTTCAAATTTCTTAGTCACTGTGCGCTGCGTACCGGAGCGGGATAAAACCGCCGCTATGGGTTTGGGTATGATGATGGCCTGTATGCTAACCTTCATACCGAGTCCGATTATCTTCGGCTGGCTATTGGATCGTTTGTGCTTGGTGTGGGGCAAGACATGCACCAACAAGGGTAACTGTTGGCTCTACGATCCACTTGCATTAAGGTGGGTGTCCTGTCCTTAAGTTTGTAGTTATGTACATACTTTATTTTACCTTTTATTATTATATTTAAATGTTATTTTAGGTATATCCTGAATTTAACCGCTGCAGCTTTCATATTCATTGGCACCGTTTTTGATGGCGGTGTTTGGTATTTGGTGAAGAACCTTAAAATTTTCGATGAGGAAGTGAAGGAAAACGAGAAAGAAGCGGCGAGAGAGGAGAAGGTGGTGCCTTTTGCAGAGAAGGCATGAAACGAATGTTATAGATTACCAAAGTTATGCATATTTTTTCTTAAGTTTTTATATTTATAAATGTAAGTAAAGATTTTACGTTAAAAGGCTTGGAACCAATTCAAATTCAAAATAAAGTCAACACTGAGCTTAGTTGCAGCTTTCGTTGCTCTTCTGTGCCAACTGACGTCCCTTGGAAATGGCAAGTCCTTCGCTCTGGTATTTCCATCCCAGAGAAGACCTTCCTCTACCTCTGTTACCAGCATCGCGACCCGCGCTTAATACTTTCAGAGCTGGAGCGTTAAATCGCTGTAAGGCTCATACTGCTCATAGTTACATCGCCTTCGGTAGTCGTCCGGTCGTTGAACACCCAGTCGAATCACATAAAATTAAAAACGTGAGTCCCATTTCCTGTGCAAGTATTGCTTCATAAAGTTTTTCAATTTAGAGCAACACATCTGTTGGCCTACTTCCACGTGTTTTATTAAGGGTGCCAACTATTGGTGTGATAAGATAGGGTCTATCACGACTTGGTCCTTCGAAAGGAGAAGACTTTGCCAAGTCGTTAAAATGTAGGAACTGGCGAATTATTTGGAAGCGATTTCTGGTCAATACTATTCCTTGGGAGATTTAAAGAGGACATGAATACGAATAAAATGGAATTCCCATCTGAAATGAATGAATAAGTAAATACCACCAGACCGGTTTTGGTGGGATTTTTCATATTTTTAACAAAAATAAAGTAACCATATGTAATTTAGGCAAAAAATTTAAATATTTCCAAATTACAGAAAACACTAGATATACTGGACTTGTGGCTTTAGTACATATGTATATTTGCAACAAATATTTATATTTCACTTAACTTCTAAGAGAAAACTAAACTATTCACTATTCGAATAATTACTGTAATGTTCGCCATCTAACAGTTTGAAAGTAGCTGTAGCGCTGTTGCATTTGATTGATTTTCCGGTTTGTGGCTCTGCTACAATAACTCTGCACTTAGCTAAGAACAGTTATCAACACATACAGCCTAAACCGAGGCAACGGTTCTTTTGGCGAAAGAAATGCGTATACACATGTATTTGTGCTCAAGTAAATATATCCCAGCAGCAAACGATAACCCATAGAATATATGTTAGTATTAGATAAGTGCTTTAACAGATTTAGTAGCTCCAAAAAAAAATTTTAAACTGATGTAAAACATGCATGTATTAGAAAAAACCAATAGATTAATCTTGCCAAAAACCGCCGCATAGTATGGAAATTGAACTTTTTTCGTGACAAATTCTAATATCTCGAAATCGAGAACAGCTAGCCAAAAAATTCAATAGCGTTTTATAGCATTTGAGGTGTTGAAATGTTCACCAAAATTAAATTATTATTTTTTGTTTTTTTTTATAAAAATTTTGGGTATGCAATTTTATAGATCATTAAATTTTAAAATAATAAAGTGGTTGCAAGTGGCTAAGAGTTCGCGTTGATTTTTAATAATACAAGAAACGCTTTTATTTCCCATTTAGCATGCAGATGTGCTCAAAATGTTAGCGAAAAAAAATATTAAAAATCAACGCGACTTCTTTGCCACTTGCAAATTGCACTTCATTATACTAAAATTAATGATCTATAAAACTGCATACTCAACATTTTTCTGGAAACCCATTTTTTTTTTTTGAATTTTGGTGAAAACTTTTTTTTTTTAACATTTCAAGTTTTTCTGGGGAAGACCTACAATTGTTTGAAACCAACAATTGTGAAAAATATTGGCTCCAGTGAATTGTGGACACTAAATGCCAGTTTAGAATCACTGTGCATCACCTTGCCCGTGGAGAAGGCTTTCTTTACATTATCTATTGAGGCGTGCAGAGTAAAAAATCTCTCTGACCATCGTTTTATGTAGGACCATGTCAACCTAAATTAGTTCTTTCAATACTAAAATTATTACTTTTAATTACCATAGTAAAAAAAAAATTAGTAAACGATGTTTTTTGTAGTGATCTTAAAGACTTGCTTCAAATATACCATAACAAATCCGAAAAACTTTATTCATAACTTTTTTCGATTATGTCTCACAAAAGAGGAAGTCATGAAAATTAGTATTTTTTCGTATGGCTACGTACACGTAATAATGTACTGAATTTTTTTTAGATCCGATATGTTATTTTTATGAATTTTGTTGCACTTTGACTGAATTATTAACACTTGATTAAACATTTTAATTTTGGTAATAAGCTATAAAAAGAATTTCCAAATATGTATAACAAATAAATGCCAGAATTGAATGTGCAGTACACATTTATTTACATATGTATGCAAATGTGTTGCCAATTCAAATTTAAAAATAACATAGCATGTACAGACGACAGTGTTACCGTTGTGTGACCAAAAGGGGTAATTTGACCCTTTTAAGCGCCAATACCCTTTGACCCGACTTTTTGAAAATTTAGATTTTTTTGACCCCTTTCCAAAATTATGTGCGACTTTTGCCCCTTTTCAGAGATTGTTTTTAGGAAATGTTAACAGAACCATGCTATTAAAAAGTATTTCCTCCTGTAAGTACGAAAAAATGCATCACCTTAAACTTTTAAAGGAAATGCAACTCTTCTCCTGGCAGCAACTAGATTTATGGATATGTTCGCAACCCTGTTTTGTGCAAAGCTCGTCCCTCTATTTTCTTTTTAAAATCAACAGATTTATTCTTTTATTATTATTTATTTATTAGCAAAGAAACGAAAAAGTAATATGGTGACCCTTTTTTCGTCAATGACCCCTTTTTTGCGACTTTCCGAAAATTCTTAACGGCAACACTGTGTACAGAAAACGGAGGCATCCATCTCTAAATTGGCACATTAAGCGCTAAGGAGCTGTCAAATATCCTCATGCTCATACAACTTGTATGAAGCATCCCACGTTTTGAAGTTGGATGCAGAGGACGGAAAGAAAGAGGAAGGAGAAAAAAGTGAAGGAGGAAACGAGAATGAAAACGGAAGAATGTCAAAAGTTACGCCGCGTTGCTTTGGTTATAGGGCGCGCTGGCACACGTTGGCATTGGAAAACGCAAAGCTTAGCGCTCCAATTTAGGAACGACAGTAAGGGTCTGATTATGCATACTTCGCATAACTTCGCACAACCATTTGTACCTGAGCACTAAATGTGTAACTTAGGAAAATGTGAAGCAAAATCTAAACTCAACAGATCGCTAAGCTTTTAAAAGTTCTGCTAATTTCTGGGTAATGGAATACATACAAAATACATAAAAAGTACATACGAAATAACAGTTTGAAGTTTATGCGAAGTTGTGCGAAGTTATGCGAAGTATGCATAATCAGACCATAAGTCTTCAACGACAGCTTTCTATATAGAATCTAGTCCAAGTACTTGACTCTACTGGAAATAGCCCGGCGGCGAACGCCTTCAGTTGAGGGAAGAGTTACATGTGCTATATTATACTTCCTAAAGAATAGGAGTAGTTCCTCTTAAATATTAGGATTTACCGTTTACAAATCACTTTTGTCGGAAAATTATTTTAAATTTATTGACTTCAGCGTCTCAAAGAAATCACCGGGATCCAATAAATTTTGCAAAACTACATCCGTCATATTGGATTTCAAAAAACGCCACTCAACCTTTAAAAGTAAGCATCTTTACGGAATTTTCAAGACAGTAACCGATTTTCTTTTACCTGAATAATTTTTGGAGGCCCCCCCCCTCCCCCTCAGTTGACCATTAGTGCCTCATATTTCGTTATTTTAATCAGCATAATTCTTTGTGCAAAACGGTATATTTTTAACCCGTTAGGCAATTATTTGGGGTCAATACAACCGACGAATATACATTAATAGATGTATGTATTATAAATAAATCACAAAACCTTAAAAATCTCTGCATTGGGTGTAAAATCATTTCAACTTCAGCAACTTTAAATGAACAAAAATATAAATCTGTTTGTATTGGCAAATATTTTCTAATGGCGGGTATATCAAACATTTCTATATTTATTAGGTTAAACTATTTAAACACGCTACACCTACCAAAAGCGATAAGATATGTATATGTATGTATGTACATACATAAATGCTGAAGCATTTTACAAGCTCAAATCAACGCCAAATAAAATAGCTATCAAATTAAAATGCCACTAATCAGATTCGTTTTTTTTTTGGCAAACATGCAACTTCAATAAAAACGCGGGCAATAAAAATTTTAAATTTTATATCAATGATATTGATACGTTTAAATACAAATGTATGTATATGCAAGTATATTGCTTCTCTCTTTGCGGAAGTTTGAGGATGGTCTAAATTACCAAATAAGTATAGTTAAATCATATTGTACGTATGGTCTAAAACGCGGACTGTTACATTACATTTTGGCTCACACTGAAAGCATAGGTATGTGGCATTATTTAGTATATACATACAAAAAATATATTGTATGTAACTCCTGTTGTTTAGGAGTTATGAACGCTTCAACGGCGAGCTATTGCATTACATTTTTTGGATGTACTTTTTAAAGTTGCTTTATATATTACTGAAAAAGTCTGCTCTCCCAATAAAATGTTATCTAAAGTTGGTACACAGCTTAAGGATGAAACTCAAGAACTACGTATTAATTGAACTGATAAATTTAATTTTGATGGTCACCGTTATTATATATATTTATACATACATACAGTGTTAGACATATCTATCATTTCGGGCCATATTAAAAATGATGTTGTTTGCCACTTATGCTTATTTATTAGTTTTTAAAATGTTTCAATTAGAACACAGTTCATTCCCTAACAAATACCATATAAACTAAGCTTAAAATAAATGTTTTAGAACACTGGAAAAAAATTCATCAAAATTTCAAAATTTTTTCTCAGAAATATTTATAGCCCTTTCAATTTCAGAGTAATAATGTGCAAGTTTAAAGTGGTTAAAAATTACCGCGGATTTTTTATATTTTTTTTTTTGCCGAACGTGTTGTGGAACACTTAAAAGGGGAAAATTATAAGTATGGCATACGAAAAATTTAGGTACTTAGGCGGGTTGGGTAAATAAGAGGGGAGATACTTAAGAGAGGGACTTTCTTCAGATTACATTAAAATATTCACGGTACCCAAAAATGTTGGTTACGATATTTTTTTTGCCGACCATTGTTATTAATCTCTTACAAATTCACAATCAAAATTATATCACATTTCCTTTATCCAGACGAACAGTAGCTTTTCAGTTATTTCTTTAGCGCGATTAGGCTACGATGATCAACACAAACGACACTATGTAACAGAAAGTGTTTAATGCAGAATAAAGAGTGTTAAAGATAAGTAGCAGCAGGAGCAGGCTACAAAAATAATTTTATATACAACTGCTGTGTTGCAATAGGCTTTCCATGCTTATCCATATATGTACATATGTATGTGCATGCATATGTTCGTACAAACATATGTATATGTATACATATATGTATATGCGTACATTTATCATGTATTTTTAATTATTTCTTATGTAGGGGGTGGTCTGTGGGGTGCGGTGTCAAAAAATAAAAATAAATACAAAAAACAATTACCAAAAGCAATGCCAGTGCCACTGCCATTTCCAACGACACTTTTTGCCATATCTCGCTGCTGTTTTGATCACTCTGTACCCAATAAACATTTGGATTGGAGATCAAGTGGAGATCCAACACAAATTCCAAGGTCCAATGTTGATTTTCAAGTGAACCTCAAATGGAGAACTAATCCATTCTCTAACAAAAGGGAATACAAAATATACATATATATATACAAAATAAACTGAGTTCTCCACTTGAGAAAAGCTGGGATATCAGTTTGAATTCAAGCTTTATTAAACTTCTAGTCAAACCTTGGGAAAAATGTTGGAGAAAATTGTTGTTTATCCACTTGAGAATCAAGAATTTCTCAAAGATTGGAAAAAAGTTGGAAAAGTGTTTGCTTTGTGCATATTGGGTATTGTTGCTGCTATCGGCTTTTACTGTCGTTGGATTGGCGCTAGCTTTCTGTTGTTTTTGCTGCTTTCATTGTTGTTGATCATTGCTGTTGCTGCTTGCTGTCGGCTTGTCTTGGGCTTTGCTGTTTTCGCGATTGTGTAGTATTTGTTTAGACGTTAAAGTGCGCACAACGCAGCTAAAGCTCTGCGGATCAACAGGTGTTGTCAGTTCACAAAATCCTCCAACACTGGCAACATTTTTTTTAAACAATAATTAGTTTGTGATTTTTCAAAGTCAACTATAAGCCAATAAGCATCGGAAAGGTATAAAAGAAATTCCAGTTACTTGGAATCGTAATTATTTTGTGATAAGTGTTTTTGTTTTAATACATATTTATGTACTTATTTTAAATTTTTTAATTTTTGGAGGATTTGAAGTGCGTGTAAAAGTGAGGCAGCGATTTTGTGAAAAATATTTAAGTGGGCAAATTTTATTTTGCATATTTTTTTCCATATTTTTAATTACATACATACATACATACATATGTATATAAGTATGTAGATATTTTGTTTCTGCTTATATAGATACTTTGCAAGGCATATAAATAAACATGTTTTTGTATGTATGTATGTACGTATATAATATTAAAATACAGTTAATCGATGAACTCTTCCTAGTTGCAATTCAAGTTCGTATTACCGAATCGCTGAGTGACTTTAAAATATTTTTTGTTTTTGTATACTATACATATGAAAGTGAAAATACATATCGGGAAAGCCATGAATCTGTAGCGAGTTTCGTTAAGTTAATGAACTTATTTGTCTGTATTTTGTGTGTTATAAGTATGTTGTACCTATGTTGTTGGAATTATTAATTATACGGCGATAATTAAGCTTAAAAGCGATATTTATCGGTTTTATTATTGGACGAAACTGAAAGTGGTTTGTTTAGTACTTTTTTATGTGTAATAAATGCCTTCACATCTGATAAGAAACATTGTGGAAGATCATTAATTTTCTTCATGTTTGATTCGTTGCAGTTATATGAATTAATCAGAAGATAGTAGTCGTTACTTTGGTTTTATCGGTAAAAAAGTTTTCTTTTGATCCTTCAGTTTTTTTTTTTTTTAATCATTTTATGATCGTTTCATAAGCAGCCTTATTGCCAACTTCATGTGAAAAAATCGTTCCCATAATTTAACATGCAAAACAAAAACAATTTGGGAAACAATTTTTTTGTTTTGCTTTATAATTTTTGGGAATATTTGTTCACATGAAATTCGCGATAAGGCCTAAGATTTTATTTGCTTTTATTAAAGTGTGGAACAGCGAATTTAGGGCATCAACCAAACAATGCTTATTCATGCTTGATAGCGAGATCCTTAGATTCAGTTCATCACAATTTTATTTTTTTTTTTACATTGTTCTTCTTATTTGGCGCTGTAACCGCCTAAGCGATTTTTGCGGAGTTCAACAAAGTACCTACGCCAGTCGCTCCCCGTGTGTGCCAACTGACGCCAATTGGAAATGCCAAGCCCTTCTCCACTTGGTGTGGAGCGTTTCTGTCCATTCGGTTGTTGCTCAACGTAATTTTACACAGCCGTATCAGTTTCGCGGCGATGGGGATGCAAAATTAAGAGTTCGTGGCGTATAGGCAACTCGTTTTAACGCTGTCGAAAGCGGCGTTGAAGTCGACAAATAGAGGGTGACAGTCGATCCTTTCCTCTTGGGTGTTTTCAAAGATTTGGCGTATTGTGAATACCTGGGCGATTGTGGATTTGCCAGGTCTAGAGCCACACTGATAAACATTGATAAAACATAACCAACTTATAGTTAGGTTTTTTGTGGGATTTCGATAAATAACCAACTTTTAATTAGCTATGACAAAACCAACTTTAAATGAGTTGTAAAATCGTGCAAGAGTCATACAGACGCAATCGGAAGTTTGCTTTCTTTACAAGTTTCTATTTAAAAATCCTCACACAAAAACTGCTTTGAATCAATTTTTTTCTGCACTTTTCCAATACTTTTTCGAATTCAGGACAAAAAAAAATTAAGTTCCAAAATTTATATTATCATTTTCATGTTATGTCTGACGGAATTCGGATAAGGGGCCACCTACTGAAGAATATGTAAACAAATGTGCAATGCTGAACGTCAATTAAAAAAAATGTGTAAAAAAAATAATAAAAGTGAAATTAAAAAATGCTTTTTATTGATATTTTATGTCCAAAAGTAGTTAGCTACAAGTTAACTGACGTCTAACGCAGAGGAAACCAGCTCTCACCTTTTCACTACGGTCATTGCAGGAATGTTAATTCCGGGATCCCGGCCTTTTTAAGGTCCCAAACATCCCGGGATTCATGATGGGGGCAGCGTTTGTATGGGCGCTCCATTGGGGCATGGGCGCAAATGAGCGAGATGTTGAAGAATCTCGCTTTAATGCGGATTGCGGCTAGACGCTCGTCCAGCGGAGGGAACGACAGTACTCGGCAACGAATTCTCTCTCCCAATACAATTCCAACAGACCGAATTCAAGCTCCTTTACATGGCAGCTGTAGTAGATGTCGCAAGGCCCCAGACATTTTTTGCCTTTCCCCGTCCAATGCATTTCTTGGATGGCGGTGATGTCAGCTTTTGTCCCTCAACCAGCCGGGCAGAGGCACTTTTCCCCATTAAGAGTCCGGACATTCCAGGTGCACGCCCTCAGGGTGTAGCCCTCTAAACGTTTGCCGTGGTCGTCATATCGTCGGGGGTCTCATCCGAGGCTTTTTGTGTCTCTTTATCACTGGAAGTGGTTTTTACTTGGCGGGTCGCAAATCCAGCATACAACCCATTGCTGGGAGGTGGTGATTTGTTAACTGAATACACGTTTATATAGCGAGCCGTTCGCTCCCAGACAGATGCCCGCTGGCAGCCGCACCTACTGGTGAACAGACGCTGCTGACTTCAGTAAGTCCTTAAACCGAATATGTCGGCATGGCCTCACAGAAGCTCCCTCTCTTTTTGCCGTGACCCAAGGCTCCACTCGGGTTTATTACCGCATCTCGCATATGGGTTGCTCACGTCGCCCAAGAGTGCGTGAACGAGGACGAAAGAGTCGTCATACTCAGAACCACGACTATACTCCATTGCACTCCACTGAGTTGCAGTACGCACATTAAAAATGCTCTTTTTTCGATGAATTATAACGATTAAATCATACATATGTATGTATGTATATTTGTGTAAACTCGTACAAAGCATAAGAAAATACGCGAGCAGAAAATTTTCTCAATTTAGCGCAAAGTGCATTTAAGCGGTAGCCTTATTAGTGAGCACTACGGTAATGGTGTTCAATTCTGAAGAATATGCCTTAATTAGGCGTCATATGTAGTGGTTAAATCAGAAACTAAAGACATTATTTTTAGCGCTCTTATTTATTATCTCCAATACAAGCCATAAAAGAAAAGCAAAACTTTATCATTCGCAAGTAAATAAATAACTAAGCCCTAATAAAATTCTGTGTTTGTACAACTGCAAAAGAAAAAGTTATCGCTTATAATTCTTGTATTGGCTTGATGCCTATGACGCCTAATCTACCAGGTCTGCTGTTAAGTAAATTGGATTTTTATTGACAAATATATAGGCGCAGTTCATACACATGTATGTATACAATATGTAAATATGTATGTTTGCTTATATGTATGCTTATAAATTCCTACGCAAATCTGGAGCAGATAAAGTGTCGCGTGATTTTTACGCTTCATAACGAAATGAGGAAGTCAGGTGTGGCATCTAAGTGCCAGAGGTTTTGCTGGCTTATATGTATATATTTGCTGAAGATTGTAGAATAATTAAAGACATGTTAGTATTCTTTGTTACTTAATGCAGTGAAATGTTAAAGATATCTAATAAACTGAAGGTCATGAATTGATCATTACTTTTAAATATCGATAGAGTGGTTAGGATGAATTTCGCATTGGAAATATTTCAATCCAAAGTTAAAAGTTGTATTACATCCTAGCTTTTTTCGCGATGTAATGTAGGCTCATAACTATGTATATACATTAAGGTGTATATACATTAAGGTGGTCCAAAATAAGAAAGTCGGAATTTTATTGTTCTATATCGAAAAAATTTACCCCAAATCAAAAAGATTTAGGGGTCGCTCAAAGTGCTCAAAGATTTCCATGTATTTTATATGGGGAAAAGGAACTTTTCGTAGAAATGGTATAGAAATCTTAAAAATCAATATTTTTCGATCGGAAAACTCTGGTGCTCTTCAGGAGACATCCTATAGCAATACCCAATTGTTTATTTAACCATTTTTAGTACTAAAGATTTTTTTATTTATCCCCCATTGCATTTTCAGGCATTTTCTGAGGGTTTTGGCGGACCTATAAAATATAGTTACTATGAAAAACTGTTTAAATAAATAATTGGATATTATTATTGGGAATCTCCTGAAGAGAATCACAGTTTTCCGATCGAAAAATATTGATTTTCAAGAATTCTATACCATTTTTACAAAAAGTATTTTTTCTCCATATAAAATACATGGAAAACTTTGAGCGCTTTGAGCGACCTCTAAATATTTTTTTTGATTTCGAAATAAAGCAGGGGTATATTTTTTTTATGTATAGAAAACTCCTTGGGGGTGAGAGCATAAAAATTCCGACTTTTCTTTTTCACATGCGTTTTTTTGAACCACCCTAATGTACGTACATGTATTAAAATTAATTTTTTGTTTTCAAGCCATAATTGCTTTGACATTCTTATCTATTGCTTAATACTGTTGTCGGATGCCACCAGGCGTCAAAGTGCTAATTAGAACTCAATGAGAACAAATGCGATTCACAGTCACTTACTAATTTATCCGCAGTTAAGCAAGTTCAAAGCGTGAAGTGCGGCATTTTGAGACAAGTTTTTTCGTCAATCGAGCTGCGCATGTTTAGACACATATTTAAGTATTTATGTACATTAGGGTGGTCCGAAAATACATGCACGGGGGGAGGGGGAGGGGGGGAGGGGGGTAGAGCCTCTGTTTCTCTTTAGAAGTCTTCCAATAACAATACGAGATTTTTTGTTTAACCATTTTTAAATATTTACTATTCTCTATTGGTCCACCAAGAGCCCCAAAAAATACAAGCCTCCTTAAGAGAGACAGAGTTTTCCGATCGAAAAATTTAGATTTTCAAGAATTCTATACCATTTCTAGAAAAAAATATTTCACTTCAATGTACTTCATGTGCTTTAAGGCGGTTTTAAAAACCTTCCTTTTTAACTAAAAAGTACGGGTATTTTTTTATTCCATTTAGAAAAATCGTAGGGAGTGAGTGCAT